TCTCTCAACTATTCCTCTTGGTTATATTCCTCTCCGAGTCTTAAAGGGAAATCTCTCGCCCCTTTAAAGCCCCACCACGCTGTCTCTGGCAGGATGCACTTTCCCCTATAATGCTCTCCCACCTTAAAGTTCAATCAGGATTCCTGTGGTCCTGACACCCTCTCTCCTACTAAGACTCACTCTTGAAGGGTCGTTTCAGGTCAGCCCCTCTCTCCTGATCCAACCACCACCACTCTCTTACTTCTAACTGTTTCTCATCCTCCGGAAATAGGATGAGTTTGTTACAAATCAGAGGGGAACAGGAGGTTACTTTGTAAAGAGCTGCCGGGACATTACCTTCAGAGTGAACTACAGTAGGAGAGAGCCCTGTGAGGTGGTGAGCGGGCTGGGGAGGACAGAACGTCTTAGGAACATCAGCGTGAACACCACACCAGAGGACCTTAATGAGGACAGAGCTTGACGGTGGGAGAGCGGGAGGGAAGTCACTATGCACAGTGTGATGGGGAGTCCTGACGGAAAAGTCTTAAGACCCCCTAAACAAAGGGGGTTTTCTGCTTTTATAGTTTAGAGGGTTAGTGGTAAATTCAACCTCACGTGATTTAGTCTGGCTTAGCCAATATAACGGGGAGCCAGGTTCTGGGTAGGTCATAAACAGGTCTTGCAGCTTGAAGGGGGAGTTAGCACTGGTGACCTCTTCACTCTCAGGGGGCGGAAGGGGGAGGGGGGGAACAACCGATTTCTGGAGATGTGAAGGGTAGCTAGACAGTCTGAGATCAACCACAGTTGCACTAAACAAAGAAATGGCAGCCGGGCGGTGGTGGCGCACGCCTTTAGTGCCAGCACTTGGGAGGCAGAGCCAGGCGGACCTCTGTGAATTCGAGGCCAGCCTGGGCTACAGAGCGAGATCCAGGACAGGCACCAGAAATACACAGAGAAACCCTGTCTCAAAAAAAAAAAATTGCCAAATAGATGTTTTTCACCAGAGATAAGTCTGTTTAAAATGGAATGTGTAATGGAATTCTAGATACTATGTCTTACTGAAAAACGTTCCCTCCCAAGGTAGTCAGCCTGACAAGGGCCCAAATTTCCTGAACTCCCCCACCACCTTCTTTGTACCACTTAGCCAATCACATCAGATCATGCAGTTGATATTAAAGGAACAACATCCCCACCCCCTACCCCATCCCCAAAAATAGCTAAGGCCCTAACTGACCTCATAGCTCCAGGAAGCAGCTATTTGGGAACTGAAGATGAAAAGCAGCTGCCCCATCACCACCAACACACACACACACACACACACACACACACACACACACACACACACACACACACACAGTGATACAAGGAGAGCACAGACCCTGCACCTCAAAACACCTTATCTAAGGAAAACAGCCAACTCCCCCCATCTGCCCCCATGGGAACCCTCTCCCTTCTCTTCCCTTGGCTATGAAAACCACCCGCTGAAAGCCTGGAACCCGCACTCCAGCTCTGGTCGGTGTGTTATTTGGTCCTGCACCCTGATCACACTGCGACCCGATCTTGACGTACCACCTCTCACATTAAATAAAGCCCTCATTCTTTATTTCTTCCTGCAAACTTAATTCTTACAGAGATCCCACCCATGGGATGAGACACAGTCACCACCCACACCAGGGATAAAAGGCAGAGGCCGTTCTGGCTGAGTGTGTGTTCGCTAGGCCAGCGTAGGCTCTGGTGCACCCTTTTTGCAAAAAGAAATTGTCTTGCGAGTTACTATCGCTTTTGTTCCTATGCTCCTCTGGGCAACACTGAGGGCTTTCTTTGCCCACACAGGTGCTGCCTAAGGGGCAATGTAAGTGCCTCACAGCACAGACATTCCTCAAGTTCTATTCCATAAATTGAAATGTGTGTTCTTAGTCTACACTCAGACACAGAGTTGGAGAGATGGTGCCGTGGTTCAAAGCACTGGCTGCTCTTACAGACATCCTAAGTTTGATTCCCAGAACCCAGATGGCAGCTCACACCCATCTAGAGCTCCAGCTCCAGGGGATCTGATACCCTACTCTCAGTTCTGCAGGCATGTGGTGCACAGGCATACATGCAAGCAGAACCCTCATACACCGAAGATAAAATAGTGAACGGACAGAAAAGGAAACTCTGACCTAGATGTTGTTTTTTTATAAATGTGACCATCGTCCTATCAGCAAATCGGTGTGTGCTTGCATTGCATTAATAAAAGAATAAAGTTCTTTAAAGGTGAACTGTGCATTCTTAGTTTGAAGGAATGCTGTGGTATAGCAATTCCCTCCAGGAGGGAGGGGAAGGCTCACAGGAAGTAAACAAACCTCCACATCCTGAAAGATGAAAATTTGCAAGATTCGGAGGGCCCCTCCCCATACACAAGGCTAGGAGAAGAGGTGACTGACCAGTTCCGCTCCAGGCAGAGATGTCTCAACTGTGGGGCTGCCCACAGGTTGTGCCCAAAGCTCCAGGGTCACTGTTTTCACTGAGTCCTCACCTGTGACAGGGTGGGCTCTGCAGCTGCCCTGGAGTCATTCCTGCCCCTGTAATAGCCTCTCACCCAAATTCCTGTTAGTGACCCCAATAAAAACTCATTGATCACCAAGTTTGGACCCTTCTAGAATGAGTAGAAATGGGGGGGGTGCATCTCCCCAGGAAAAGTCTCTCATACAAACTCTGATGGAGAATTCCTTATTGACTTTAGTTACTTCTGGCCATAGGGCCATTACCATCAGCAAATCAATATGGGCTTAAGTTTCACTAACGAAAGGTCAAAGTTCGAACAGGGTCTCATGAGACTGTCCAGGCTGGACTTAAACTCACCATGCCACCCAGGCAGGCCTTGAATTTTCAGTCCTCCTGCCTCAACATTCAGAGTAGCTGGAATTACCGGAGTGTACTGCACTTGGCCTATGGTGGCATTTTTTTTTTTCAAGAAAGGGTCTTATTATGTAACCCTGGGATTGCCTGAAATCTTTGTAGATGAGGCTAGCCTCAAACTCACAAAGATCCACCTGCTTCTACCTCCTAAGTAACAGGATTAAAGGTATGCCCCACTGTGCCCAGCTTTTTTATGACATTTAAGATAGGTTTTATCAATGGAAGGAAAGAGGTTAGAATGATCAGGGGTCCCGACCAAACACACCCAGGCTCTCAGCTATGTCCTATTCCATAAGCTTAAGAAGAGATGGCTTTAGTAAATTTGGTGCCTGGTCCCAAGTCTATAGGCTATTCTTTCTGGCTTAGTGATCCAATGAAAGCCTGTGAATAGAAGGTTCACAGACAGATTTATGTGGTTGTAAGGAAAAGCACTACCAAATCCAGTTCTGCCTCACAATGCAATCTGTGGTGAGAATATCATTGAGATTTTGATGGCCCCATGAGATATGTAAGAAGGAAAACACTTGCATAGACATGATGCACTGGACCAGATTCTGAATGTACAATGTTGCTCGGCATGGGCTCTGTCCCTACCTCCACAGGCCTTCATGGTAAAAACAGACCGGACATACAGGAAGTTGCATAATAAAGTATGAAGTGAACTAGTGCAAGAAGAGTGCACTGACCCATGTCCTGTTGCTGTGACATGGTTTCCAGGTTTCAATGCATGGCGGCAGCAGGAAGAGAAGTGTAGCTCATTGCCACCACCTGTAGTGGTTTGAGGAATTCACTTAGTGTGTTAGAGACCTCAACTGAGATAAAGCTACATCTTTGGCTGCAACACAGAAAGGAATTTCAGGATAAGCCAGTGTAAAGCACAGTTGGAGTTTATTTTAAAGAAAAAGAAAGGCGCTCAGGAGGTGCTAGGGAAATACCTTAACAGGTAACATACCTGCTGTGCAAGCAGAGGACGTGAGTTCAGATCCCCAACGCCACGTGGAAGCCATGCACAGTGACACAGTGGCTCACCTATAAACTAGTGGTGGGAGGGCAGAGACAGGTGCGTCCCCTGAGTTCCCTAGCCAGCCAGTCTAGCTTCATACTCAGTGAGAAAACCTGCCTCAAAAATTCAGAGCACCCCTTTAATCCCAGCACTCAGGAGGCAGAGCCAGGTGGATCTCTGTGAGTTCGAGGCCAGCCTGGTCTACAGAGCGAGTTCCAGGACAGGCACCAAAACTACACAGAGAAACCCTGTCTCAAAAAAACCAAAAAACAAACAAAAAAAATAATTCAGGTGGAGAGCAATAGAAAAAGATAGCCAACCTTTTCCTCTGGCCTCCCACACAGATGCAAGCATACACATACACCACACCAAAGAGGAGGAGGAGGGAGAGGAGGCAGGAAGGTAAACACATTTCGCACATACCCTGTTTTTGCTGGCTCCTGAAATTACATCTGTGAGGTGGTTTTTGGTTTTGTTTTTCTTGTTTTGTTTTTTGTTTGTGTTTGGCTTCATTTTTCAAGACAGGGTTTCTCTGTGTAGCTTTGACTATCCTAGAACTCACTTTGTAGACCAGGCTGACCTCGAACTCAAAGATCCACCTGCCTCTACCTCCAGAGTGCTGGGATTAAAGGCATGCACCACCACCACCCAGCCCATCTGTAGGGTTGTTAAGAAACCTTAAAGAGCCGGGTGGTGGTGGTGCATGCCTTTAATCCCAGCACTAGGGAGGCAGAGCCAAGCAGATCTCTGCGAGTTTGAGGCCAGCCCGCTCTACAGAGTGAGATCCAGGACAGGCACCAAAACTACACAGAGAAACCCTGTCTCCAAAAACAAACAAACAAACAAAAACCTAAAAGAGATTGAAGCAGAGAAAACCAAGCCCGAGATCCTTGAATATGATGGCAGCTTCCCAGCTGCAGGTGGATCTAACTCAGGAGTTGGGGTTCCAGAAGCAACACAGGACACTTGGGAGGCAGAGGCAGGTGGATCTCTGTGAGTTCAAGTCCAACCTAGTCTACAAAGCAAGTTCCAGGACAGCCAGGGCTGTTACACAGAGAAACCCTGTCTCGAAAAACCTAAAAAAAAAAAAAAAGAAATTCACTAGTTACAGGAAGAAAGAGATTTTAGAAAGGAGTTTATTATAGGCTCACACTCAAGAGACAGTAAGTAGAGCTCCTGAGCAGCAGAAGCGGGTCCCGGAGAGGGGTACCACCCAACTGCTGCCTCAGGGGCTTTTATAGGACTCCCTTGGAAACTGGGTTGAGGCATGGGAGCTGAGCTGGTCAGTCTGGTTCATCCACCGGTGTCCATATGCATCTCCAGCCCAGGTATATGGCTGGGAGTTCCTGTTGCTTCCTCATGAGTAGCTTCCAGGCAGCTGCGAAAGAACAGGCAGAAAGATAAGAAACTGGAGCAGTTACCAGAACCCTGAATACTTTCGGGATTTCTGGCCTTTGACTAGAACATTACCAGCTTCCGGCCAAGGACAAGAATCTGAGGTCCCTGCCTCTAAACCACCTGGCCTTGCCTATCTCCTTGTCAAGATCTGGGAAAGGAATAAGGCCACAACTGAAGATCATTGGCACGGTTAGTTGCTATTTTAACATAACATTTACATTTACATATGAAAGGAATATTGTATCCAGATAGCAGCCTTCTCAACAAATATGAGTTGTGCTGGAAATTTTTTAAATTTATTTTATGTGTATGAATATTCTGCCTGCATGTATGTATATGTAACACATTTGTGCCTGAAGCCCACAGAGGTCAGAAGAGGGTATCAGGTCTCCTGGAACTAGAGTTAAGGATGGTTGGAAGCCACCATGTGGGTTCTGGGAACTGAACCCTCTGCAAGAGCAGCAAGCGCTTTTGAACACTGGGCCATTTCTCCGAACCCTGTTGCTGGAATTCTTATTTTTCCACTTGGGAGGCTTCAACCAGCCCCAGAGTGGGGCTCTTTTCCTTCCTATATGGCTCTAATATTCCCTGGTTTTCTACCCTGCCTCAATTGCTTGGGATCAGAAGAGAGACTGACCATGGCGGCGGTGAGAGCGTGCAGGGAGCAAAGCTGTTCGCCTGGCAGCTGGACGGAGAGGGACAGAGGGAGAAGCTAGAGCAAGACGCAGCCTTCGAAGCCGTAACCCCAGGGATCTTCCTTCATTTGGGCCCCACATCCTGCTTCCTACCACCCCCAAATAATGCCATCAGGCTATGAATCCCCATCCGTCAGTGCCTTCGTGATCCACGAGAGCCATGTACACTGCTTTTGGTGGCTTCTGAAATGACATCCCCATTATGACTGCTCAGAAGTACTACCTCTGAACACAGCGTTGGAGGCCAAACCTGTACTCATGAGCTTCTGTGGGGCTATTCCTGTCTAAAACACTTTCATCTGACCTGGGCTCACCTGAGAACCGCTCTGGGAACAGCTCACTGGGGACCATTGCCTTCCACTAGCTCCTGAGGCAGGTTAAGCCAATGGCCTTGCAGGCCTGGCAGCTGGTGCTATGGCCCTGGGACACACTACTTCTTCTCACAGTGTCACGCCCTCTGGAAAGGCAGGCAGAGACGATTTCCACCACAGTGGGCTCAGTTCAAGGCAGCCCTGGAAGTGAAGGAGGGTATTTCCAGTCACACAGGGCCCAGGCCTAGCACTAACACAACGTTGTGTCGGTCAAAATCAGTCACAAGGTTCACCTGGCAACAAGGAATAGGGGGAAAGTGTCAGATGCGACAGTGTGACAGGGCAAGACAGTGCAGAGGTTTCTGCATCTTGTATTCTTGCTGAGGCCGTTTTAGGTTTAAGTAGAATTTGGTCTCCTTCATGGAGAATCCTGTGGAAAATTACCCAACCCTACTATCTTAGTTAAGGTTTCTACTGCTGTGAAGAGACACCATGACCACAATAATTCCTATGAAGGAAGACATTTAAATGAGGTGGTGGCTTACAGTTTTAAAGGTTTAGTCCATTATCATCATGGCAGGGAACATGGCAGCTGGGAGTATGGGGGCATGTAGGCAGACATGGTGCTGGTTACAACTTTTTTTTTTTTTTTTTTTTTTGGTTTTTTGAGACAGGGTTTCTCTATGTAGCTTTGCACCTTTCTTGGATCTCACTCTGTAGACCAAAGTGGCCTCGAACTCACAGAGATCCGCCTGGCTCTGCCTCCCAAGTGCTGGGATTAAAGGCGTGCGTCACCACCGCCCAGCGTGCTGGCTACATCTTGATCAGAAGACAACAGGAAGTGGACTGAGTGTCACACTGAGCATGGCTTGAGCATATATGAGACCTGAAAGCCCACCCCCACAGTGACACACTTCCTCCAACAAGACCACACCCCTTAATAGTACCACTCCCTTTGGGGGCCACTTTCATTGAAACCACAACACCTATTCTAAGAACCAAAGGTCAGGATGCCCTATCTAACTTACCTTAGTCTTTGTTAAGACTGCCGGGTTTTTTTTTTGTTTGTTTTTTTTTTTTTTTTGGTTTTTTCGAGACAGGGTTTCTCTGTGTAGCTTTGCGCCTTTCCTGGAACTCGCTTTGGAGACCAGGCCGGCCTCGAACTCACAGAGATCCGCCTGGCTCTGCCTCCCGAGTGCTGGGATTAAAGGCGTGCGCCACCACCGCCCGGCCAAGACTGCCGGTTTTTAGGAACATCCTCCAGACAACTGCTTATCTTAGCTTCTGTTAAAACTGCTTACTTCTCTGGGCTGGTGATGGTACACCCCCTTTAATCCTAGCACTCTTGAGGCAGAGGCAGGCAGATCTGTATTAAAGGCCAGCCTGGTCTACAGAGTGAGTTCCAGGACAGCCAGGGATACATAGAGAAACCCTGTCTCGAAAAAAATTGAAACAAAAACAAAAATTGCTTGCTTCAAACCGCTTACTTCTGGGAAGTCCCTCTGCAGCTGCCGACAAGATGCCAGGATGTAGTTTCTGCCATCAAAAACCCCGTGTTCTGGACATTTGGGGCCACACCTAGGTCCCCAAAGAGCTGATATGGTCCCAGCCCGCTGGAATAAAGACTTTAAGTTGACTATAAACTGTGTCTGAGTGGTCATCTCTGGCAGGCCATCTGTATAAATGGCACACACTGACGGGTGGTGGTGCACGCCTTTAATCCCAGGCACTTGGGAGGCAGAGACAGGTGGAGCTCTGCGACTTTGAGGCCAGCCTGGACTACAAACAAGTTCCAGGACAGCCAGGGCTATGTAGAGAAATCCTGTCTCCAAAAATTAAACAAGTAAATAAATAAACAAACAAAGCGATGGCCCACCCACACCTGTAATCGCAGTGTTGGGGAGGCAAGGAGAGGAGGATCCGGAGCTCCACGGCCAGCCAGTCTCGCATAATTGGTGAGCTCCAGGCCAGTGGGAGGCCCTGTCTCAAAGAAGGTGGCCCAAGTTGCTGAAGATGATGCCTGAGTCTGTCTTCTGGCCTCCCCACAGGACATTCATGCACACACACATTTTAAAATGCAAAGAGGGCCAGGTGGTGGCGGTGGCTCACACCTTTAATTCCAGCACTCGGGAGGCAGAGGCAGGTGGATCTCTGTGAGTTCAAGGACAGCCTGGTCTACAGAGTGATTTTCAGGACAGGCAGAGCTACACAGAGAAACCCTGTCTCAAAAAAACTAAAATAAATAAATAAATTTTAAAAATGCAAAGAATCCACCCAGGTCATACAGGTCTGAGATCAATTATGCTACAATGTGGATTCGTCTCTCATTTTTCTAACAAAGACTGATTACTACATTATAGTAGGAAGTACCTTTGTTTACACCAGCCATCCACTGATTGACTTCTTTCCCCAATACTTCCACATGCCTGAGGTCAAACCATTCATATATTAAGCTTCCATTTTCTTACTACTGTTTAGAGATAAGTCTTCTACCTCTGCACAGTCTGTGTCTTCTGAGCAGAAGACATTTGAATAGCCAACTGCCTTGGCAACCAAAGACAGTGAATTTTGCCTGAGAGACTTGGAAATGTCGCTCCCCAGAGATGTCTCCACACTGTAAAAATAAACTTTCTCCTTCTCCCCCTTGGAGGATATTGGCTAATATTCCAGGGTAATGAATAATCTCTCCAGGGTGTGAGAAGGGACATGCAGGTCAGCAGTTTCTTAATTTCCACCTGACACCCAAATACGATCACTTTTAAGCCATAATCTTCTAACCCTTATCTCCATAGGCTCGTGGCCACCTCACGGGGCAAAATGCACTCAGTCCAACTTCAACAGTCCAACTTTAACAGTTCCCACACTGGCTCAAAGTATAGGTGCAGAGTCTCTTCTCTGCACAGGGCAATCTCTCAAATAAAAGTCCCCAGACAAGCGAAAACAATGTTCATACTTCCGGCACACAATGGCAAGACTGGAGATGGCCATTTAGCTGCCAAGGCTGTTTGCTGTTCAGGTGTCGATGAGTGGGGACATAGCAAGGAAACACAGGACCAAAGCAAGACCAAAGCCATTCAGGCAAAATGCTCAGTCTTTCCTCTGCATGGGGCACCAGGCAAAAATGCTCAGTCTTTCCTCTGCATGGGGCACCCACTGCACACTCAGGTACCACTGGCTAACCTGTACACTGTTCTGACTGCTGTCTACCTGTCAGTCATCAGCCTCTGTTGTAGCCCTGGGGAGCCTGTGTCTTCTGATAGTACGTGGATATAAAACTGAAACACGATTACTGGTAAGCTTGTGAGCAGTCACACCCTGGCCCATTGACAACCTCTGGTTGGCCATTTTATTAAGTGGATAATAACAGAGCCTACTCCTTAGCATTCTCACCAAAACCACGTGAAACACGCACAAAAAGTGTGGAGCTATCATTTCTCCCTCCCTGTGCCCTGCCATCTCATTAATCTTAGAGATAGAGCAGAGGCAAGAAAGGGATATAGTAGTTGGGTTTCCATCTCAAAATCTGAGCTTGAATCAAACACGTGACCTAAAGCACATGAGATCTCTCTCAGAGCCTTTGTTATCTCATCTGTAAAATCAGAATATTGGAAGAGCTTTATCAGAAAAATAAAAGTTCATTCCAAGGAACATGAGACCCATGAGATTATTCTTGGAGCAAAAGTGGTTCATGGACACCACAGTCCGAGTCCAAGACATTTGCATCGTAAAGCTTGCCATAGAAAAGGATAATGCAGGGACAGGGGAAATAAATCAGTTTGTAAAGTGCTTCCTATACGAGTGTGAGGACCCAAGTTCAATCCCCAGAATCGACATTAAAAAGGCAGGTCCTGCAGGACTGGAGAGATGGCTCAGTGGTTAAGAGCACATGCTGTTCTTCCAGAGGCCCCAGGTTCAATTCCCAGCACCTACATGGCAGCTCACAACTGTCTGTAACTCCAAAATCTGACATCCTCACACAAACTTACATGCAGGGAAAACACCAATGCACATAAAATAAAAATAAATAAATTTTAAAAAAAAGTAATTTCCAACTTAGAATTACATTCTCAGACAAATTATCACATTAATCAAGTAAGGTGATGAAATAAAGGTATTAAAAAAAAAAAAGGCAGAATGGTACATGATTATGTAATCCCAGTGCTGGGAAGTGAGAGATAGGCAGGTCCCCGGAGCTCACTGGCCAGTCAACCTGTTGTGAATATTACTTTAAAGTGTGTTGCATTTTTTTTCTGGCTTATTTTATTTTTATTAGTTTAAAAATTTTTTGTTTTACATACATGAATGTTTTGTCTGCATGTATGTCTGTGCACCACATGTGTGTCTAGTGCCTAAAGAGGCCAGAAGGGGACGTGCCCTGGAACTAGAGTTACAGAAGGTTGGGAGCCACCAGGTGAGTGCTGAGAATAGAACCTAGGTCCTCTAGATGGCAGCCAGTGCTCTTAACCACTAAGCTACTCCTCCAGCCTTTTTGTTTTCGTTTTAAGAAAGTTTCTCTGTGTAGCCCTGTCTGTCCTGGAACTCGCTCTGTAGACCAGGCTGGTCTCAAACTCAGATCTGCCTGCTTCTGCCTCCCGAGTGCTGGGATTAAATGTGTGTGCACCACCACCTGATTTCACCCTTTGTTTTTATTTTTTTTCCTTTTTTGTTTGTTTGTTTTCTTTTCTTTTTTCCTATTATCAGCTTGATATAGTACAAATTCTTATCCTAATAGTGAAATGTTTCATTGAGGCTTGCCCAGTAATTGAGTAAAACCAAAACTTACTATAAGCCACAGTCATCCTAGGGTCCCCCCTGCTTTATAGCCTCCCTGGTTCTGTGGGTTGCAGTGTGATTGTTCTTTGCTTTATATCTAGTATCCACTTATGAGTGAGTACATACCATATTTGTCCTTCTGAGTTTGGGTTACCTCACTCAGGATATTTTCTAGTTCCATCCATTTGTCTGCAAATTTCATGCTGTCATTATTTTTCTCTGCTAAGTAGTACTCCATTGTGTATATGTACCACATTTTCTTAAGCCATTCATCAGTTGACGGGCATCTAAGTTGTTTCCAGGTTCTGGCTATTACGAATAGTGTTGCTATGAACAGAGTTGAGCATGTATCTTTGTGGTATGATTGAGCATTCCTTGGGTATATGCCCAAGAGTGGTATGGCTGGGTCTTGAGGTAGATCAATTTCC